ATCCGGTAACTCCCTGAATATCAGTGCCCATACTTCATCCGGTAACTTGGGCAGCGCTGGCGAGGATACCAACAGTTTCAATTCGTCTTCTCCATTGTCGGGCTGTGGACGTTCTCCATATGGCTTCTTCCTCCTGCCTGCACAACTTGCCGAGTCCTCGCGAGCGTTCTCAATGGGACCAGTCGCCGACATTCTGCAAACCTGACCGACTGCACTATCGCTGTGAACACAACAATCTGAAACACAACCTACTCTTGTTCTTGTTGGGCTCCTATTTCAAACGCAATGGAACTAATTACTTGGGTAAACTCACACCTTGCCCCTACCATGTATTCTCTAGAATGACTGAGAAATGTTCGACTGTTCGTAGTATACACGCTACGAACACGTAGATCAAGCTACAACCCGCTGGCTGTACATGCAGACCTTCATGCACGATTTTCCAGTGACGTAATTATGCTGCCGATAAGAAGTAATCACCTGCTGACTCCGAGTGCTGAGCCCGATTAGCAATAAAATGGCTAGCAGAGACCGCTCTCTTGTTCAATCATCACACAGAGAAGAACGTAGGTCATAGCACTGTATCAAAGACCAGAATGATTACAAGTACGGTACAAGTACTAACTAGCTACTTCTACCATGTCTACGCAGATCGAAAGCAGCCAGAAGTGCCTTCTCTAATCGATTGCGGGGGCACGAAACGTCACCACACTGTTAAAGTAGTCAATTATTATGTCACACCCCGAGCGGGGTCCCCTCCCTGACCCTGACCAATCATAGACAACATTGTACAGTATATATAGGATATTGCACGGTTCCGAGGGGATTATTTTTCAAATCCCCAAGGCGCGCAGCGCCGCTGGGATTATGAAAAATATTCCTCGCGGACACTGTGCAATACACGCAGTATCAAGAGACGAGTACAATATGCAGTAAGTAAAGTTAGTTGCAGGGCAACTGGGTAGCCATTTCCCAAAGATGCCAAAATATTTCTCAACTTCTGTATTTCGCAACCATACCAAAAAAATTAGGGGAAATTGCTGAAATCGCATCCATATTAATTTTTCAGAAAAAGCTCAAATGTTGCTGATACCGCAACTCAAAATGAGCCAGTTCGTGTGCATATAATGATGCCAAAACTTGTGACAAGCAGAAAAGCAGCGGAAATAGGCAACACTGCAGTATTCTGTGGCTTAGCATAATACATGTATGTACATGTACATGTATATGGTATTAGATAGGGTTCAGCGGATAATGCCGGCATTATATTCGCCATTATGAGACTATCCGAGCATCAGATCATTATGGAGCATTAGAAAGGAACAAGACGAGCATTATGTGAGGTTTGAGCAGCATAACGAGTTTCATAGTGGATAATAATAATAATAAACACAGCTCGCATCTTCCCTGAACCTGTTAGACAGGAGCAGAGTCGACGCATCTGTCAACAGTGTCAAGCCAAGTTAGTCTATCTCCTGCAGCTTGGAGAGCGCTCTCCACGGAGAGATCCGCTGCCTTCAGGTCGTGCCGAATCGTATCTATCCACCGCAATGGCGGACGGCCATGGGTTTTTTTTATGTCGTTTGTGTTGATTGATAGCTCCAGTGCTTGGAACGGGGCGGATTCCGGACCCTCTCGCACCACATGGCCAAACCACATAGTGGATAATGTCGGGAAATATCAAGTTTTTGCCAACAATCGGCTAAAGCCATGAGGTGCAACGCCACAGTGTATTGTACCGACACATGACTTTGTGACTTGTAGACATGGAACACCTTTAGCACTGATGCTACATTTACCTGACTACATACATGTAATGCCATTGCTACATAAAGTCTTCATGTTGCAATGCAGTCAGGTTAATGTACAGGTGATGTAGCATGCCCAACGTGCAACTGAGGCTGTTACAGAAAACCCGTAACGATGATTTACGAGGAGTTCTTTTTAGAAGTGAGACGAAGAGGAGTTTCCCTGTTATGCCATAGGCTCTGGCCATAGCATCTCTAACGATACTGAAGAAAACACTGATGTATCGATAGATTTAATTTGGACCTGGATGAAGGAGCGGCTATAAACAGAAAGAGCGTGTTCGAAATAACTGCCTTTGCTGAGTCCAGGTCAGCAGGCTCGAAAAGAACTAGAATTTCTCATGGACACAGTACCAAGTCGATTTGAGTGCTCAGGAGCGCGTGTCTACTTTCCTGGTGAAGCAAGTACAGTTCGTCGTGGACGATTTGAATGCAAGGCCTACAGTCAGGTGCTATCAGAAAAGAAGAGTATTGTGGCCAACCATTTGCAACCTCAGGAGAAGAAGACAGCGCAAGCAGAGGATGTAGAGCGGCGAAATAACTTCTGACCAAGTGTTTTCAGGATTTCCGCAAATGGGAGGGATCTCGATCTGAGATCGTCTCTCCACTGGCCTCACGTAAGCTGTTTCAGATGAAGACATTTTTCACAGAGTGGAAGCAGTGACAGCTTGTCTGCAGGCAGGATTACTACTTCTACTGATATGCTTCCGGCATCCAAATGATCACCAGCAATAATGGTTTCACCTCTCACTACACGGATAAGCAAGGGAAAGGATTTGATATACCCACTACGGAGCCACAGCCCTGCATCAAAGTTGCAATGGAGAGCAGCCAATGGAGACGCGATCATGTCTTATAGTGCTAAGAAGTGTAGCAGCGTCAGAGGCAGATCGACTAAATACGTCCTTTCCTGGAAGTTTGACAATGTGCAGCCTTTCTTCCATTTTTGTTCCAAACCAAGAGCATTATAGCCCTTGTTGAAGCATTAAAATTAGCATTACAAGGCAGTTTTTGGAGCATGATGATTAGCATTATACGAACATTTTCGGAGCATTATCCGCTGGACCCTAGTACTGTATTAGATAATGCAATACTAGTACTTATTTCAAATGGTGAACGGTACTATTCGGCCAATAAAATTTAAGGAACTCTTCCTCTCCTCCCCTCCATACGCTCTCACAGCCGACTCACTGCTACCCTCGGTAGCCATTACACACACCAACCAAGGAAGGGTTGCAGGTAGATACTGCAATTCCTCCTGACAGCTGTTCCGCCTTCATAAGGCTCATCAGAGAAGGTGATATTGAATAGGATGATATCAGGTGGAGATGGTCAGATTTATACTACCAAAAAAAACATGGGCGCAAGATTATGGGCAAAGTGTGAGAATGGGAAGTTACAATTCTCCAGCAACAGTACACAGTGCCAGGGGTTCCAAGAAAATGGCAGGTGAGAAATCCAATCACAAGCTGCTAACATTAATTTTCTAACGGCTAGGTGATAGTTTAAGAATTTTGGCGAGCCACCAAACAAAGTGAAAGAAAGTAGAGTACTAAGCGTGCAGTGCAGTTTGGCAAGTTTGGCTTATCGTATGAAAGCGAGAGATATGCCATTCGAACCGATATCAAATTGTCTTTCTTCTGGACCATACTCGAAAAAATCGATGCACTTCCCCTTTAATTAATGCACGATTTTCCAGTGGCATGGCCATGGGTGGCCGATAAAATGACCTACTGAGTCTGCGCTAGTAGCAATACAACAGTGGCGCGGGAATATGTTCTGGTCTGCAGAGCTAGAGAGGCTAACAATTATCCAGCAGAGACCGCACACACTGTAAATGTAATGATCAGCAGAATCGTCGGCGTGGGTAGTTGTCATGGGTACATCATCCGATAGTCATTGACAAGTCACTAAGGATTGGTGTCTAGTACGTGATCATTGAGTGATGACGTAGGCACGGCTGCATGCCCTCTTAGTCTTACTCTTAGATCCTACGCGGGGTCGAGAGCTTTCTGTTCATTGCCGCTACTTTATGGTTTCAGGCGATCGGCTTTAGTAGGCGCCACGTACTTACCCACCAAGCAGTTTATTTGTTGTTGTTGTTGTTGTTGTTGTTGTTGTTGTTGTTGTTGTTGTTTGGCTTTGTTTAAAGTGGAGTTCCAAAACAGGCCTAAACCTAATGACAATGGTCCCACTGATAATAATTATTTGAAATAGAAATTAATAGTCTTGCTCGCGCGCTATAGCGCTACTCAGTCAAAACCATGCTGTAGCTGTGTTCACTGCATGCTGCAGCCACTGGAAACACGACAAGTGCAGGTGACGCGACTTTTGTTTGTCACCACTTGGCCAAGTAACTACGCGTTTACGGTTGTCAAGAAGCTGTGACGTCAGACTTCGTGAAGTGGGTACATTTACCCACTTGCTTGGTGTGAGACTGAGAGTAACAAAGATGCGGTTTATGGGGTAATATAGGGTCTTTACACGCCCGGTTAACCGGTTGTTGAGAGACCCTCTCCCCTGACTCACTTGTGAGGTCTGCATTCGACAATGAGGATTAATAATTTATATTGGGCGAAGTGGTGGCCCGCCGATGCGAATGTACATGTATTCGCTTGATGTGTTCCTCAACACGTCAGGTGATGCGGCCGCGAATCCAGCTAACTGTCACCATGGTCACTAATCTTTACTATTGTGGTACGTACTTAGTACTAGCAAGAGTGCATAATGCACTCTTGCACCTGGTACTACATGTAGTACTAGTACTAGTACTAGTAGAAGTGACGTACAGTACCCTACACTACACTGACAATGTAGAAACTACATGACATGACACGCTACACAGTCATGTACGTGAGTACAGCAGTACAGGGAGCTTTGTAGTAATGTAGGCTGCTGAGGACTATGCCCGCTGGCCGCTGGATGACCAGCGCTCGCGCAGCCCGTGCGAGATGGCGATGTCGTGACGTTGGAGTCTTGGCGCGATTCTGGCTAGTAGTAGTACAATATAGCCTGAGGTGCTTCACAAAAACGCGCACTTCGTTCGTTTTATTGACAGCTCACAGGTGCCAAATTGCAAAGTCATACCAATTTGTTTCGGCAATCAGGTTTCATCAGTTCCAGTTTGTTAGAGAAGCTTGCATGCGTTTCAAGTCTAGGCAAGGTGTTTCAATCTTCAGACAATTTTTGAAA